CCCACCCGTTGCACTAATGTGGCGCGGGGGGTGTTGAAACTGAACATGTACTTTGCTCTACTGTGGCTCAAGAAAATAGTACGTTTGCACGTTGTTGTGTTTTGGGGTTCGCTGCTGTATAACCTTAGGATTCTCCGGATTATAGTGGCCCCCGAAGAAGTACTGTTGTCAAAACTTTCGAGCAGTTGGAGGAAGCTCCCATTTAGATTCTCTTGAGGCTGTTGGGTCCCTAAAACCCTAAACCCTAAACCCTAAACCCTACGACGGTACCATGATTTGGTCGGCCTGTGCAACGAATAAACTGAACCTTGACTTTGAAGCTCCCCCAACTGGCTTGCTGTTAAGGAGATTAATTAAAGTTAGCCATAGTATGGGTATATGGCAAAGAATAAGATTTCCTTCTTATAGTATCTTGGTTTAAGTTCCTTAAGAGCAACCAAGCCAAACCTCAAGACTAGCCGAATCATTTAAGCCTCCGTCCCCCCTTGTAATTCTTTAGCATCCTCTTCCCTCGCCCCTCAAATATGAAATACATCCCAGAAGATCCCGAGGATGTTGGAAGGGGGGATAGTGCATATTCGGGGGAGAATTTGATGCAACCACCCTGCAGCCAGGTTTTGGAGGGATACGGTTTGTCCGAGACTGCTGCAGGAGGTCTTCCGCTCATGGGGTTGCCGAGTGCTGGGGGCATGGTTTGGGATTTCATAGTTACTCCAACCCCTAAAGACTATCAAGCCCAGACCTTCCAATTATCTTCGATTCAGGCCTAAGTACACGCTGTTGGGGGCCCTATAGCCCCAATGAAGGGTACCAGGAGGGTCCTGGAGTAGAGGGCTCTCTTCGTAGCAATTGCTATGCTGTATGTTGCTAGGGGGTCCAGGACGTAACAGTTGCTGGTAACCATATGCTTCAAGCAGGACTTCAACAATCATCCCCAAGTACCCTTAACAGCCTTTCAAGGATCTATACAGGTCCTAAATGTTGGGGCTCTATGGAGGGTCGGTGCGCGCAGAGGACAGCATTCAAATTAGAGTTGCCAGAAGATCTCTTGCGATTGTCGGAAAATCCGTAAACCCTTCCCGGGCCTGCCTGGGCCCCAAGAACTGCAAAAGTGTTGCAAAACACGCGTGATTTGCCAACGTTGTGCACAATGGCCAAACTCCAAGAGCTCCTCTTCAGCGAACCTATACGAGAGCGCGTTACGGGGGTTAGGGGTGCACGAGGACATCGTGAACATTCGCCTGGTCTATCGTCTGGGTGGGTCCTACGCAGCCTGCTGTTTGTAACCATTTCCCCCTTAAGAAGGCGCCTCACCCCCTAGTATCCCCTAGTGACGAATACTCCAGATACCCAGCATCCAATGAGAAATACTTACAATATTCTAACCGTATGCTCTAGAGGGATTAATGATTATTGCTGCGGTGGGGAGTTCATGAGTAGTGGGAAAGGACGGCCTTTGCACCCTTTAGCTCAAACCCTAAAGCCTCTCATAAGCCCACGAACCTAAGCTTTCATCGCACATAGATACACCATGGGAACTGCGAAGCGTAAGCTCTAAACCTCTGCAACTACACCATGGTTAAGCTCTAAACCCATGTAATTACACCATGGACGCCTCACTCTTAAGGCCCATGTAGTTAACCACAGAATTAACTCGTAAAACCTATCCCGCGATAGTTACACCACGGAGCCCCAAATTCCAGACCCTAAACATTAAACCCATGAGAATTACGTATATACCTGCACTACACTATGAAAGCTGTAAACCCCAAACCGGGTAGGTACCACCTGAAACCCCACATCCTAAACCCTAAACTTAATCCGAAATCCCAAGCCTTAACATGCAACCCAAAGTCCCAAAACCTAAGCCCTACACGGTTTAGGGTTTAGGGTCATCCTGATCCCTTGGCCCATGCAATTACATTGCGCAACCCTCAATTCTACACCCAAAACTCCGCAGGTACACCGCGGAACCCAAATCCTGAACATAAACCCATCAGAAAAATGGAAAAAGACCAAATAAACACAAAAATCCCAAACACTGAATCCTGCATCCCAAAAAACCCAAACTCCAAACCCTAAATCCTAAACCCTTAACCAGATGGAATCGGAGCAGTCCCATCACCCTGCGGAGAGAAGCCAACTCCTGGTGGCCTGAGTGGGCGCGCTGAATTATCTGCGGGACCAAGTTGCGAAGGGCATGGTGATGATTCAGGCCGAGCAATACATCCAGCACAAGGTGAAGTGGTGAAAAGAGGCCGTGTGATGGCACGACTCACGCGGACAGAGACATGCTCAACTGGCGATCCAGCAAAGTCGTGCAGCAGTGGCGGAGGGCTGTTTGGAGGAAGACCTGCCAGATAACTTGGGTTGGAGAGCAATCAAATGCCAGAAAGGGTGTGGTGGATGATGGTAGTCTGATTGAAGGTCGCGCTGTCATGCAGGATGTGAGTGAGGTTATCGCCGCCAGTCGTGGGCGGAAGGGTGAGGAGCATGCTGTGGAGTGTGCCCCTGGCGAGGACCATGCTGTGGAGGAGGGTGCACCTGGCGAGGTTGACAGGCCAGCTGATGTCGACTTGGATGACTGGTTGCAGTTCAGAAGTGCACGTAGGGAGGGGACAGTCATCACGGTCATCAACTGAAGGGGAAGGTAGGCAGCAAGCCACTTTGGAACACTGGTTGCAGCAAGTTCCATAACGGACACATTTGGACTGTGCCGCAAGGCATTTCCATAGACTCGTGCTGTGGAGAAAGTCCGAACAACAAAATACTAAACTTTAAACCCTAAATCCCAAACCCTGTACAAAGGTACCATCACGGCTGACGATGACTTGGCACCTGGCACCGTGGGGGCCGTCCTTGCCTGCAACGAGATCCGCTTGAAGGAGCAGGGTTTAGGGCCTAGGGAGGGTTGAGAGCATCGTCCCTTTAAGGAGGTTTTTGGGTTTAGGAAAGGGCTTATGGAGTCAAACAGGGTTGTACAGGGTTATATAATGTTATATATGGATAAATGGGATTTAGAATGGAGAGCCACATGGAAACAGTAGTATTGTGGTTTCAGGGCTCCAGGATTAGGATCCTCTGCAGAGGCTACGAGAGGTTACTTTTTTGGGGTCCCCATACTAAGGATCATAGCATTTTGGGGTCTATACGGGGGTCCCCCTATTTTGGGAAATGACCATATAGGGGTATAGGGGTTGAGGGAAATTTCCCCAATCGTGGAAGGTCAAATGGAAACTGAAGGGGGTCCGAGGGGGATATATGAGGGCTTTACAAGAAGGCACAGGAAGATGTGAGGATGTAGACGGTTCGGCGGTTAGGGCTTTATTGTAGGGTGCTAATGTTGAATATGTCTTAGGATCTGCACAGCTTATGGCTGAAACAAATTGAGCCCAAGAAGCCGGGGACCTGATTCAAGTAGGCCATCAATCCCATGGCAAGCATACAACAAAAGCACGCGACAGTGCCGTGTTTTTTTGTATCGCAACAGCTTTCCCTTGTTAGGTCCTGCTCATTTGTGCTGCTTCACGGCCCCCCTAGAGCGCGACCCTTTTTGCCGTAGATTGCAGTACTTGGCGCATGTAAATTTTAGACAACCAGTTGTGGGGGCACTTTACGCATGCATGACAATGGCGAACATGTGCGGGCTGCAAATGGATGCATCTTCCTGTACTACACGCACAAGATGGGCGTATCAAAAACGAGGGTCGCTCGGACGTTTATTTCTTCAACTATTATAGTCCATGCTCTATGGACCCCCGAACCGGGCCCCCAATTATGCGAAAACCACCACATGTGCCTGTAGTTGAAGAGGTGAAATGGCAGACGTAGAGCCAACATGAAGCCTGAACCCTAAACCCCAAAGCCTAAACCCCAAACCTTACCCTAAACCCTAATCCCCTTTCCTCCATCCTGCAGAGTCTGGAGATTTCTTAGGGTTGTGGTTCTGCCCCTTAATGGTTGAGTACATGCGCTGACGCAGGATGTGCCTGACATGGGTGCGGAACCCAGCGTCCGCAAGTGCAGGTCACAGCAAATATGCAAAGCCCAAATGGGGCAAACTATAGAAGATGCGCTCTCTTTGGGGAACCTGGAAATCTCCGCTGAAAATGTCCACGATAACGCGGGGATAACTATACTGGTTGAAGGGCCCCTGCTCTGCTTCTCCTCCTCGTTTTAGCTAAGACGCAGCTGCTGACATGAGGACCCACTCATTAGTAGCTACTGCAAAGAAGTGCAAAGATCACAGGGATGATTATGATTTTGATGGTGATGGTGATGACGATTGTGACTATGAATGACTCTCCTGGTCAAATGCGGAAGTAAAATTACAGCACGCTAAGTAGAAGCACGACAAACTGTTGTCTTTCTTGGGAGGAGGCTCTCTTGCTAGGAGTTAGATAAGTGCATCATTGTACTATGTGTAGTCTGATATCAAATCCCGCGGCGCTCCATTTTCGTTGACTTGCCCCGGCTACGATCACGATTCGCTCCCTGCCCACCCTCGGCAACTAAAGCCTGAACCCTAAGCCCTAAATAGTAGTTTTCATTTCTCCATTATCCCAATACATCCCCTATCAACTGGTTGTAATCCTGGCACAGTGAGTTGAAAGCCTACAGGACTTTGGCTGTCCTTCCTGTCAAATGTCGCATGCAAGGCTATCTGCGAACCGACCAAGTGCAGCACTCAGTGGATGTGCTTTTGACCATGTTGTATAGGCAAAACAGTCCCCTGGGATCCAAGTACACAAAGGATGCCTACATTGGGCCCTAAAGCCTGTAAATCTTACCTACATTGGCCTGTTGAGATCCCTAGGGCATGGTTGAGAAGAAGCAGTCATTGTGTCGAGCATGGTGGTGCTGATGTTGGTGTTGGGGCGTCGGCCGTGTGCTTGGTCTAGGTGTTGCCGTTGGTTAGCTACTGCGCCCACTCTTCTCCGCTACGACCATGACGGTGATGATGATGCAAACCTAAAACCTAAACCCTAAATCCTTAACCCTAAACCCTAAGAAGGATCCAACTAAACCATTGCGCAATGGTACTGGAGGTTCACAAGATCGGCTCCAAGACGATTCCTTGTTCACTCCTCAGTTGTTGACATCATGGCTTTGCATAGTCTGCCTTTGACTTAGGAAACCCAAATCGGATGTTGCGGAAGGTTCCTTCATGAAGGGTATACTTCTTGCTGATCCCTCTAATGTTTTGTTGGACAGGCCCTCTTGTGAGTCGTACGTTTTCCTCCGAGATTTGGGTGTGGGTTGCAAGGCGCATCAAAGGGAACATCAAATCCAAATTCAGGCTTTAGGGGTTAAACCCCTGTAGCATGATGATGTTGGAGCTCTTGGCCACAAGCATTAGTTGGATCAAGCTAAAATCTTGCCCCCTCGTTCGCAGCATGAACTGGCGCGGCAAGATCGGGGGAGTGTCCCGGGGGGGGGGGGTGGGGGGCGGTCCCACATGCGGGTGAGCATACTTTCCCAGAAACTAAAACTCCCTTGTGCATTCCTGAAATCTCAAAAAGAGCCCCATATACCCCCATATTCTATACCCTATATAACCTATTATGGTAGTTTCCATTTTCTTTTCCATTCTCCCTATATAACCCCTAGATCCTCACAGGGTCTGGTTAGAGTATGCTAAGCTCTAAGTTCCCAAGCAGTTCAGGTTCGAGCTGGGACCCCTGATTTATTGTAATAATGTACTATAATATGCTACTATTATACATGTGTATATATATATAGAGTAATATGCTATAATATACTATAATCTACTACGATAATATACTATCGTATACTATAATATTCAGGTTCTAGCTGTGACCCCGGATTCTAACATCCGAGCCATGACAGCTGTTCCACCCCACGTACAGGCTTGCTGTTAAAGAACTGAAGCTAAGTCACCAGACGTAATCCCCCCTAAGATTTAACACCCCACCCCCTCTAGAATGAAATGTTGCCAATGTATTACAATACATCACAAGGGGAGTATGTAATATGAGGTTGGTGTGCGGGGGGTTAATTTTTTCGGGGTATGGGATTGAGAAATGTGGGTTTCCTTCTACAGTTATCTTTGCCTTAACAGCAACCCAGCATGCATTCTGCGATCCTAGGCCTCTTCCCAAAGACTCCACCCGGCAACGCTGACCTGCACTTCAACAGTAGGGGAATAATGGCCTGGACCCTAAACCCTAACCCCTAAACCCTAAACCCAAACCCTAAACCCTAAACCCTAACCCCTAAACCGTAAACCCTAACAATGGCCCGCAGACATAACCTACGAGCCAGAGGGGTTGCACTGACGGTGCTAAAGCTGAAGCACCAATCCCTATAGCCTCCCTTAAGTAGATAGAATACGGGGTATATGGGGATCTTACTATAGTATACCCAAAGCCATATTCTATCTACTTAAAGGGGACTATAAGCTCAAATCCCAACATCCTAAGCCTTCAGCCCTAAACCCGAAACCCCGGTCCCGTACACGATTTTCTAAAACATTTCAAGTGTCCCATCTCCATCCAGGCCATGGACGTGGAGAGATTTGCTTCAAAGGTCTGAACATCTTCCAAGGCCTTGACAGAAGGGGGTTATGTTGTGGGTCAGGGCTTAGGGTTCAGGGTTTAGGGTTTATGGTTCAGTAGTTAGGGTTTAGGGCTTCGGGCCTAAGATAGAAGCCTTGCTACCAAGCAATGTTGTAGTCTTGAAGTCCTAGTGTACCTCAAACAGACCTTAACATGATAGTGGTAAAGGGCCCTACAGTAAACTCGCCTACCAGGGACCCAAAGAAAGTGGCGGCATGTGTCTTTCGGGTTTAGCATAGCAAGTTGTGACTGTAAGCAAGCTACTGCCAAGCCTTACTACTAGAACTACCTGGCGAAAGAGTAGATGGATTGGGGGCTTCACCACTGAAGGACGTCCTAGCTGCTAGCACTTCACGGAAGAACACCTCCAGGACAAATACCTCAACAAGAAAGCTGCGAGGCTATTATTTAAAGATTGCCATGTAGTAGCAGCCTCCCAATATCTGTAATGGTAGTAATATTCTAATACCTTATCAGACATTCGAGCTTACAAATAGGGGCCCCCGGGCCCCAGACCCCAATTCATTCAGGAAACCCTCATATCCTGCATATGACTGTCACATAGAGGCCTGGCAAAGTCGCCAACCTAGAGCGTAGCAGATCAAGAAGCCTCAGTGGGTTTTCACGCCTGCAGGCTCATGAGTACTTATAGTCCCCCTTAAGTAGATAGAATATGTGGTATATGGAAATCTTATTACAATATACCCAAAGCCATATGCTATCTACTTAGGGGGGACTATGCAACTGAGGCTAGCGCTCCCCTTCACTTTCTCGGAGGTTGTTGTTGCTTGTAAACTGGTTGTAGACTTCTTATAACCTTTTTCTAGACCAACCAGGAGCCTCCAAGTGGTCCTTGTAGTTTGGCTGAGATGTCTCCTTCTTGCAGGGGTTCTGTGTCCCGACATTGCTGCAACCGCAGGATACCAGTAGCTTCTTGAGAGCTCCAGGGAGGGGTAACCTCCGCATACGCTGTTTTTAGTTGGCTGGCATGGTAAAACTGCCTTCCCTCTGCATGAAACCTCCCCAAACCTATTTGCACTACATTTCCGTTTGTTCCATGTTTCTTCACAGGCTGTGCTTTCCAATTCGGCGGGGAGATGAATACATGTGGCACAGTGTATTGGACTGGAGCGTACAAGCAGCCTGCTTACGTAGACCTGAGCCCAAGTGATTACTCATAAGTGCGTTGCTGTTCAGGAAGTTCGTTTAAGTTAAAATAATGTGGGCATATAGTAAATAAGCCTGCTTACCTACGTTAGGGGGGAAGTCCTGGTAATGTCCAGGATTCGGAGGTCTTGATTTGCCGTCTTGCTGTAATGATGAAGGGTTGCGGACAGAAAATACAAAAAAAATATGTATGGGCGTCTCATAGAGGGCCAAGGGAGCAAGAAACCCACCTGAACGGAATCCTAAGCCCAGACACCCAAACCCCAGGATCCTAAACCCTAATCCCCACATCCATATAACCTGTACGTCCTAAAAACCCTGGATCCTAAACCCAATCCCCACATCCATACAACCTGTACGTCCTAAACAGTCAAACAGTTTCCTAAACCCTAAACCCTAAACCAGTCAAACAGGCTACTACAAGATGCCCGACAAGACGGCGGAGGCAGACTGCGAGGACGTGTTTGTAAAACAGTGGGGGTTTAGGGTTTAGGGGTTTAGGGTTTAGGGTTCAGGGGTTTAGGGGTTTAGTGGTTTAGGGGATTTCCATTTTATTTTCCATCATCCCAATAATAGTCCCCAAAATAAGCCTTACATAACTCTAATATAGCCCCAATATAACCCGAATATGGTGGTAGAGTTCTTGTACAATGGAGAAACACATCGACAAGACATCAAAATAATCTTGCTCATTCTTCAGGCTCCTAAACCCTAAACCCTAAACCCTAAAACAGTAGTATAGATTCGTACAAATTCATCCTTTTGAAGTGCTTCTGGAGATATGGAAGCTTCTTTAAAAGGGTGGTGCTTGGGGCCTATGGGGATGCATAAGGATTTGACGAGGATTCTAGAGGTCCCCCATTATTATGAACCTAGGGTTTAAGGACTAGGGGGTGGCGCTCCCCCATAAGGATTGCCCCATAGGGCTTGGGCAAGGATCATTTCGAGAAATTCCGATATTCTGCATCAATTAACCTAGGTTATCCCTACATTTAGATTAACGTTTAGGGATTAGGGTCTCGGGTTTCGGGGGAAACCGGGGAATATAGGGGTTTAGGGTTAAATTAAGTTACTATATTGGGGAAACCCTATTATCTACTATATATTCCCATTATGGTAACTTAAACTAAGTTCGGGGAGTAATATTTAGGCGGGGATCCCTGATAATCAGGGATTCTTGGGAGGCGATCGACGCCGATGGCTGGTTTCACTCCGGAGATATTGGGCACGGGACTTAGCTGAAAGAAAGCATTGAAGGGACTTTGGCATTTGATTAGGATTTCGTATGTAGGAGGGGTCAGGGTGTAAGGTTTATAGCTTTACGGTTGAAGGTTTAGGGTTCAGGGACTCCCCAGATTAGGTGCAGCCTTCCCCAACTGAGGATGTGGACCCCGGACGGGCGGCTCAAGATCATCGACAGGAAGAAGAACATCTTTAAGCTCGCTCAAGGCACCCTACCCTTTTGGGGGGGTTGCTTGATGTTGTGGGTTTGATATTCTGGGCAAAATCATAGGATGCCCCTACATGGTATTGGGGTTGAGGTTTATTGACTTTAGGGTGGATGGCTATGAACATTATTAGACTATAACCTTTTTATGTCAAAGGTCTCAAGGTTGTACCGGGAAAGCTGTACCGTGGTCTTGGCATGATTGAAAGGAGTCCCAGGCAGCTATATACGTTGCTCTATATAAGGCTTTTTGTAGATCCATGGCCGTTCTAGAGATTTCAGCAAATTTTGATCGCAGTTAGCAGCAAGGGTAGTTCATGAAATGGCAAGTACGGCTTTTCCTTGCTACCATGTTTCAGCCACTGAAGATGGTAGTCAGAAGTGTTTCTGTGTAGGTGCAAGGTTACCCTACACCCCTGAACCTTCAACCCAGAAACCCTAAACCCCTAAACCCTAAGCAGAGCTATTGCAAACCCTTTTTCCAAGGGAGGCGAACTTCCTTCAAAGCTGACACCTCTGACCTATAGTCGAAACTCCTTAAAGGGGCTTTGGAAGGGGATTATTACAGGGGTTATCTATGGATTCCTCCTCTAGGAGTTCAGATTATAGGTCACATGTGTTTGTTCGGCTGTCAGGGATCAGGATCAACATGTGAATTGTAGTCTAAACTCCTGAACAGGCTGGTTCTATAGGAGATTACGTAAATAGGGGACCATTATAGGGCTTATTGAGGGGGATACTAGAAGTTCAGACTACAGCTCATGTCAAGCTTTACAAGTTTGTCCCACAGGGTCTGTGGTGCATCGTTGCATGGCCGCTGTTGTAGCTGTTGTCAGGTGAGTACGTCGCGCCGGAGAAGCTGGAGAATCTCAATGCCGTCAGCCCCAGATCATACCCTCAGGGTCTGAGTACTTGAAAGTTATATTAGGGCAATATTGGGGTAATATATTGGAGTTATATTGGGATAATGGAAAATAAAATGGAAACTACTTTCTTTTTAGAGGTTATATAGGGGTATGATGTAGGGTAATATGGGCCCAAATGGATTCCTGCATAGCTACTTGGGGCTAAGAGAACCTACGTACTCCTAGAGATAGCTACTTGTTGCAGTCGTCTTGCACTGTACTTCATCGGTCCTGCGAGACCGCACCACCACGTGGAAACGCATTCCTCTCATCTGGCCTTGAGAGAGAGAGCCAGCGAGAGTGATGTAGAAGCTTTACGTCATCGGGTGGGACTGTCATCCCTATATAACTGCGCCCCCCATAATACCGTTTATCCCCTATATACCCCTTGTAACCCCATATAATACCTACATTGGGGTATTTAGGGTACCCCTAGGGTCTAGGCTGTTGGATTGAGTGCGAAGAACACGCTAGCACTCGTAGTCCCATGTGATTTAATCGAACAAACAGCACACTCAGTAAATGGGTGCAGGTATCGGGACTTGCAGAACTTGGGGTCCCGCTGTAGACCTCTCGAAACGACACCCCCCTTCCTTGAACATTCCGCGTAGGCTAACTTCATGCGTAGCATGTGTCCTAATTCGATCTCCCTGCATAACAACCCCATCGTAGCCAGTCATAAGTAGGTTCAACCCCTTGGTAACCCCAGAGCCTCACACCGTGGAGTCCATGCAAAGCACCTAATTTTACATGGAGGCCCATGGGAATTAGTAACTACTTATATCATGGACTTATAACCCTACTTATAACCCCCTGAATGGGCTTATAACTTATAGGGGTTACACCAATTATAAGTAGGGTTATGATCCCAGTTTTGAGTAGTCACTAAGTCCCATGGGCCTCCAAATAGGAGCTTTCACGCTGCTGCTTAAGGGGTTCCGGTCTCCAGGTGCAGAGCAAGTTTGTTGCTCAGAACTTCGTTTACGGCGACAGTCTGAAGACTCAGCAGCTTTTGGCATTTTTGGGTTGAGGGTTTGGGGTCTTAAGGATTAGGGTTTGGGTTTAATGAGGGTTTGGGATTTTGGGTTTTGGGTTGAGGGTTTTGGCCTTTAGTGTCAGGGGTTCGGGGTTTGGGGTTCCAGACTTCTGGCTGAGCCCGTCATGAACCTCGAAGTCAACCGCAATGACCTTAAATTCGCCTAGGCTTCCCAGTTACCTACATAGTATGTTACTGGGCTCTGTAACTTTTAGGGTATATAGAACCCAGAACCCATTATTGAGGTAACTGGAGCCCAAGGGTTCTCCCTCAAAACATTGGGGCTCCTTGCGGGGCCTGGGCCTCGCAAGGGCTATATTCTGAACCCCTTAAAGGAGGGCTTGTTAGGGGGTCTATATAGGGAAGCACCATAGGGCTCTTTAACGAGGATACTAGGAGTTTAGACCAGCTCATACAAAAAAATAACAAACGGAATTTGATAAGCCTCCACATGGATTGCGACATGACGTGTTCGAATCCCTCAAGACCAGGCCGTACACGGCGCATCGTCCCTAAACCCTAAACCCCTTGACCATCAACCCGGATTTAGGTGGATCTCTTTCCTACTTTCCTACAAGGCCCCGTATGCCCAGAAGCTTGTGCCTCCAAGACATGGATGCTCTTGAAGCTGTTATGCCCATGTGAGGCCCTTGTACTTGATAAAGAAGCCCTGCATAATCCTCGTGCAACGGAAGCCTTACAACTAGCGGTAATCGAGCCTAAGAGGTCCGTGCAGGAGTTGTCCCATCAGCGGTAGGGTATGTCCATCAGTCCTGTTCTGTTTTGTGTTCATGTCGCCATGGTTCAGGTTCTTGCGGCTGCGCACCGCAACATTTATTGTCACCCCTTCAGTGCTTATACGTAGTCCTTGCGGCTGGCGGCACGACTTTTTTGTACTTATACCCGCTTCTTTCTAGCATCATACATCGTGCAACCCCAACTTGATATTCAACATGTCCTACATATCTGTTAAAGCATGTTTTTCAGAGAGAGGGCGTGGAATATTTGCACCAATTGTAGCAAATTCTTAAACCCTGAACCCTAAATTCATTTGGTCTTACCCTTGGTTTATATAGATGATTTCCCCGACCAGCCGGCTTTAGGCTGGCGAGTTCGAAGTCCCTTTGCGCCTTGATAGATAAGTTCAGAGGTGTTGGCAGAGCATTACTGGGTTGATGTTAAGGAACTGAATTTGAGATATTTTTTGGGGGAAACCTTATTAATTACTATATGAATATATATGTGCATATATATACACACACCCAATATGGTAACTCAAACCCTAAACACCAAATCCGAAATAAATCCTGAACCATAAACTCTATATACCCGTTATGGTTACCTGAATTAAGTTCCTTAACAGTAGTTTCCGTTCAGGTGCTGGTGCATCGCCGTGTCCACAGGTAAGTTCCGTAACAGCAGCCCAGATTATGCCAGGCTCGTGTCCATCGTGGTGCCTGACCCTGAAATCGCCAAAGCCTGGGCGAAAGAGTGGGGCCCTCGAATGTAGAAGCATCAATTTTCTTGCCAACCAATCCTTATAAGCGATCATTGCAGAACAGGCTCCAGCGCCTTGTTCTCATTATTTTGGGCTCCTACATTCAGTTAATCTGCTTTGGTCATCACTTTGAATCGGGGTTCTGGTTTATGTCGGGGTATACTCGGTTCCCAGGGAATACTGGGAAAGCCTTATGGTGGGGCTCCCCAGCGGCACCGTTTGTAGGTACTTTACCCATTCTACTAATTTGGGGTTAGTGGTTGGTGGTTGCGGCTTAGGGTCTACGATTCGATCCCTGCAGACCCCATATACGCGTTTTCCTTAAGCCTGAAAATCTAGGTGAAGGCTTGGAACCAAGACTCAGTGCCCAGGATTAGAGGGCTAGGGGTATACTGGGGTTTATGGTTTAAGGGATTTCGTGGGTTCGGGTACCCTAAATCCTAAACCATAAACCCTAAAAGCCTAAGGGTTTGGGGGGTTTAGGGAGTTTAGGGTTTAGGTCCCCTATTCATTGGAACCCCCATGTCTAGGCTTCATGCTGGGGTTCAGCTTTTTCCAACGGCTTCTAGCTAGGCGATTCTCGAGGTCGTGCGAAAGGATGTTTAGAATGTTGGGTTCTGGGTGTATCGGAGTTATGATGGGCTTCATGAGGATCACATCCGATTTCTGAGGGGGGGTTGCGGTGGTTAGATCAAATGCCATGGCAAATGACATACCCTAAACTCTATAAGCCCTAACCCCTAAACTCTAAACCCAATCTCCTAAACCCTAAAAAAGCAGGTGCATTTTCGGCCCATGCGGACCTAAGAGTTGCAATTCTGTGCTTGTTCCATTAGCCCTAAAACTTGGGTACTGCCCCCACCCAGCAACTGTCTACCTTGGGTACTGCTTTGGGTTTTTGGGGTTTTGGGGTTTTGGGGTTTTGGGTTTAGGGTTTGGGGGTTTAGGGCTTAGGGTTTAGGGTTTAGGGTTAGGTACTGCCCCCACCCAGTACGAGTCTATATTAGGGGTCCGTTTAAGGGCTATATATAGCCGTAGTATAATTATTTTCCAACTGTTACTGAGTGGGGTCAGTACCCAACCTAAAACACACACCGTCTTGACCTTGAGGCTCCAGCCCAAAGACATAAAGCGCAAACGTGAAGCACTGAAGCCGCAAAACCTGAACCACAAAACCCAAGCCTAGTCCCAAAAGCCCGAAGCCCCAAACCGTAAACCTCAATGTTCCCCCAAGGTCTGAGCCTCTCTGTGACCTTGAAGCTCATCCCCACACTTAGGATGGATAAAGTCCCGCATGATGCCCCGAAGGGCCTTATGCCTTGAGGAATTGTGGTAGGCTTTAAATGTTAACCCTTACAACCCTAGACTCCAGGCATCAAGTCCCTGATTCTGTAGACCTGAATCCTGAGCTTCAAGCTCACCTTCACCCAGCTTGGGTACCATAGGCCCTGCAAGGAGGACGGCCGCTTTCTCCCTCGGGTTATACTTCCCTAAACCCTAAGCTCTACTTGGAGGCCCATGGGACTTAGTAACTACTTATAACCAACTGGGGTAACCCCTATAAGACCATTCAGGGGGATTATAATTGGGGTGATAAGCCCAGTTCTAAGTAGTTACTAAGTCCCATGGGCCTCCAAGTAAACTCTAGAAAAACAACCTCGGACAAGCAGCCTCACCTCGGCGGCAAAGCACTTGAGCCATGGCTACACCGGGCGCATGTAGCGTGAAGGAGGATTGGCTCTCATCTTGCACGGGTTTGGGGTTCAGGGTTGGGATTCGTCTTACTCAGGCTGACCTGAATACCAAAACTAGGTGAAAACTTGACCTCTTTTGTGGTGGCTCTTTTCAAGCGGTGTTTCGGCCTGTAGTTTTACTTACTTTCGAGGTCCAGAGGGCAGTTGTTCTCAGCCTACAAATACAACCAATGTTCGGCCCTACAGTCCATGAATAGTACTTACCATGTGCTACTTGGATCACCAGGAAAATTGGGACTACTGTGTAGTTGGGGTTCAGGGCTTAAGGCTTCTTTGGGAAAGTGGCAACGGGACAGAGGGACAATTAGGGACTTCTCAAGTTGGTGTTGGTTCGGTCTACCCTAAACCCTAAACCCGTAGGCAGCTCCAGATTTGCGGGGTTTGGGGTTTAACTAGTGCTCACATTAGTTCTGAGTTGATCTAGGACCTTACCACTTGTAGCGTAGTGTGACTTAGCTATGAGCCTTCCTCCATGGATTGACTTCTTGGCCCTACTGCCCATATTACGGTTGGTCTGCGTGCTTATCAAGACCCTAGCTGGAACCGTTCCTGCCGATGTCACTAGGAGTACTGCCTCGTCATTGAGCTGCTCAGGAAAGCGCACATTTTCTACTGTCCAGTCTCCTAGCTACTACCTAATCCTTGCAAAGGCTTACGTGGTATTTCCCAAGACTCGGCGTTCCTTTAAATGCTCTGAAATATGAGCTGAAAAATACCATTCCAAGGACTCCCTAAACAGTGGCCATAATTTGCGGAAGAGCTAAACCCCACATCCTAAACCCTATAGACCTGATTTTTTGGGGCTTTGGCATCACTCCTGAGCCCCACAAACCCTATCAGACCATGCAGTCATTCCGACAGCCCCTGCAGTGCATGTAATGTAGGGGCCTACATAACAACCAACATTATGGTCCTGGATTCCTTGTGGAAGTCTGGATTCTGGTATAGGGTATCTCAAGTAGATCTCAGCATGATAATTGTAGTTATTTGATTGAAGCTGTGACATAACGGGCAGGTACGTCAATAGCATGCGGGTCCCTATAGCTGGGTTCCTACTTCAGTCCGGCTCCCAGGCTAGCCAGCATTTCGGAAACAGTATTTGGGACCTTCTCATTCACGGAGGGGGCCCTCTCTGACCCTAAACCCTTACACCCTTAAACCCTAAATCCTAAACCTTAAATCCTAAACCTAAATAGTGTGTATCTCATCCGCCCAGGGATCCCTAGCGCTCCCATTTGGATTTTACCCTGTGCAGCCATAAATAGGTTCAGGGTACATACTGGAGATCCTACATTCAGACTCATCAGCCGTTGCAATCGGGCTATTGTATGTATGTGTGTATGTTGTATTTACGTACGTACCTACGTACGTAAGTACGTATGTACGTATGTACGTATGTACGTATGTACGTATGTAGGTATGTAGGTATGTAGGTATGTAGGTATGTAGGTATGTAGGTAGGTAGGTATGTATGTATGTATGTATGTATGCTTATGTGGTATTTCCCAAACTAACATGGAACCATATTTAGTCCCCTCTGGAAAGCATAGTGGTCTTTGCGCAGCCCTTCCTGGGATTCTGTAATAGTTTGAGGGAGGGCTGTTCGCCTACCTGACTATGACCCCGGTCTCAACATAGAGCAATTTGCATACTTCGTTTTTTGGGGAGCGAGGAGCTCTTGCAGTAACCTAGATAGCTCCGTTAGTAGCAACGAATTTCCGCAGCTGGTGCAGGGTGTTTTACTCTGCAGTCCGCCATAAACCCTTGACCTAACGTGTTTGTTTCTGTAGGCGTTGTTTCTCCTGGGCCTCAAAGCCGCGCTGAAGCGCAGCGACGTTGAGAGCGCTTTTCGCCGGCGGGCGTGTGGCGCTCAGACGAGGAAGTACAGAGTTCTATCATTGTACCAAGAACAGGCGACCACACGGGTGATTATTGACAGTCTGAGGGGGTTGGGGAGTAAAGGTTTAGGGCTTACGTGGATGGGCCGAAGATTTGCTGGTTAGTGACTATTGGTACAAGGGCGCATAATCAGAATTACTGACCATTACAGTAGCTATTTCCCAGGCCATCTCAGTTTTGCAAAAGCAGTCTTGGTGCTAGTTTTCTTAAGGTGCGGACAAGATCATCCACAAAGGATGCCCCAAAGGTGTCATGAGCTAAAACCCAAAAACCCAACTAGAACAAGTCATGAAAAATGCAGGGTAACCCCTAGACCCTAAGCCCGAAACCATACATTCTATACAGGCCGTACCATGACAGTTCGAACGAAGGCCTATTTGCAGTGTGATGAACAAGTTGCGGTCCGCAAGTTTTCCGTCATTGCTTTCCCCAAAATCCTAAAACCTGATGCCTATAGTCGCCCTTAAATAGATAGAGTATGGGGTATATGGGGATCTTATTAAAATATACCCAAAGCCATATTCTATCTACCTAAGGGAGACTATAACCCTAAACCCTATATTCGATCTACTTAAGGGGAACTATCGTCCTAGAGAGCCCATAGATTTCAGCTGCACGCACCAGCTTCACATCTGCTATTGGGGCTATGGCTATCGCCACAATTTTTGCCCTTTTTTGTTCTTATTTTACTTAACCTTACTTTACTATTTAAAACGCTGTTATTAGTACTACTTCAATACCATCTTACGCCCTTCGGACACCCAAACTCTTTTGCGAAGCCTTCGGCCCGTCTTGCGCTGGGAATTCTTAAAACTCCAACGCCAAGGTTTGACCCGCTGACGCTAAGCCAATGCTACTACTGCTGGTACTAAGAACCCTGCATGACCCTAATATACCATAGTACCATAATTCCCAATGTATTAAGTACTTCAGGTCATGCAGGATTTTTAGTATCCACCGAAGTACGTAGGGCCATCTCAGCTCGTCATGTATAAAGAATCACTCAGAGCAGGTCCCCAAACATTGAGCCCCAACCAAAAAGGCTAGAACAGACAGAGAGCCAGATCTGCAAATTCTCTAGGCGTGCCAAAATTCGTAAGCCCAACCAGAAGTCCGGAAATCCCATATATAACCCCTATATAACCCTAATCATAAAACCCACGTGCCTCAAAACTCAGTCTAAGACTCCATCAACTCTCGAAAACCTAAGCCCCAAGCCAAACCCAGGCTGCGATGTCATCCCGACCGGCATCCGAAGGACCACACGGCATAGCCTCTTGGGATCCTAAGCTTCCCCCCAAAAACATACATACATACATACATACATACGTACATACATGGATGCATACATATGTGGAT